TATGCTAGCTTAGTTATTCTTCTTAACGATGTATTCTTTATTTCTTCTCTTCCCTATCCCATCGTTCTTTGTCACACTCGTAGTTTTGTATGCTGGGCTTTAGTGAGTGCCCAAGTATTTTATTAGGTATTTTTATATAATTTCTCTTAATTTATTGTGTAATACAATGGTTAGCTATTTTCTCTTTCATATCATTCTTTAGGACACGTTGACAGTACAGTTTCTGTGTATGTGTGCGTTACTTGCATGTTATAATAAATCATATATAATTTATTCAAGTTACGTTAGTAATATAGAAGTAAAGAAAAAAAAACAATAATATAGCCGAATATTATGCTAAATCAAATAAAAGGAGTATTAAGAATATCCATAGCGCTAAATAACCTTCACCATGAGCACATCCCACATACACACCCTCACGTACATGCCATCAGTTACAAACCATCACACCCGAAATAATACATGTATTTAAATTTTTTTTCCCAAGTTTCGTATATGTTTGAACCTTTTTGTATATATTATGTATTCCATCTTTGGCTATATCTTTAGTATGTTGTTTGTTACAAATAATTTTTTGATCAAAGCAACATTCGTACACAGAATAATACAAAAACACGATCACTTGAACAAAAATATATCGAATGTTTTTCTTGGGAAAGCCATTTTTTCCAAGAAGAAAAAGGCCACTTAACGAGTTTTTAGAATTGTTTACATATTTTCGTGACATAATTATCCTGATATGTACCTAGACCAGAATAAATTATTTTCGAAAAATTATTTAAAATTTCTTACAACCCTTTTCAAGGAGAAATTATCAAAAATTTGTGAAATGTACGTGAAGAGCAATCAAGACAAATGTACAAAATAATCATATCTATACTTGTTATTTATGTACACTTAAGTACTCTTTGAAAGTATGTGCTAGTAATGGAATTTGTAATGAGTACTGTAAAATGCACTGTTGGCCTAGTGGCATCAGCGTGCGACTCCCATCCCTGAGGTCCAAGGTTCAATCCCGGCCGTGCACCAACGGATTTTCCTTCAATGTGTGCATTTAACATTCGTTCGAACGGTGAAGGAAAACATCGTGAGGATCCAGCTTGCCTTAGTCGACGGCGTGTATCAGATATATGAGGCTGGTAAAACTATTAGGAATGGTCAATAACGACTTTGTGTAATTTTTGATATGGGCAAAAAATCGTGGGGAAATGGGATGAGTTTCGGTAGGCCTATATCCAGAGGCGACTTATGAAGATAATTTTTTAATAACGATCATACAGTATAATTCAGTAGAAGTAAAAGCTTTCTTAATTTAATACGTTTACTTTTAAAAATTATTTTAAACTGAAACAACCGGAGGCGGAGATTTCTGGGCTTTCGAAAATTCTGAAATTCGATATGAAAATTCTTGATCTGTTCTGTATTAACTTGTTAAATGGAAAATTAATAAGATTAGCTGTATAATTGGCGAAGTTGGCGTAATTGTTGTCATTTTCTTTGTGGAATACAGTTGGGATTAATTGTTTGACGATCTCTTTCATTCCGTTAATTCATTAATTTGTTATTAATTTAATTGTCGGTGCCAAGTTTATTTACGCATTTTAAGGTTTTGTTAAAAATACTTTGCGAACATTTTATTTAGTTTTATGATTCTTTATAAAATAAATTAGTGGCGCTACAATCTTTTTAGGTCTAAGCCTTAGATTACTGTATCTGTTTCATGATCATATGTCAACCTAATAGGCAAGTAGGTGATCAGCCTCCTGTGCCTGATACTCGCCTACGACTTTTTGGGTCTATGGCGAGCCGGTTTCCTCACGGCGTTTTCCTTCACCGTTCGAAGGATGAGAGTGGTACGCTAAAGCCACGAGGCTACCACTGCTCTCTATAATACTTTAGGATTATAATAATATTTAATGTATATTATCAGTGGCTAAGAGTGGATTTTTCACACAGTAGGAACAAATTTACTACATATATTATTTTACACCTACAGTGAAGGCTTGGACACCAATTGATGACGTGTGGCACAGAAGGAACACCAATAAAGAATTGCAACACTGCTAGAATAATATAACGTTGTATATTTATGCTTGTGTACTTTTTTAATTAATCATGAAATTGGAAGTGTGCTTTTATTAATTTATGATTCGAGCCCAATATATAAAATATACACAAATCTATAAAAATAACTTGGCTGCAAGTCACTTATTTGTCGGTTATAATAATAATGTATTTTGTTTAATTTCAAATTATATCTTTATTAATGAACAACATTTTTTTTTTAATTTTCTATATAATTCCCCGACGATGTAGTCGTCGGAGGTATTAAATAGCTTACGTAAATGGTATATGGTAACCCGGATGATTAAACACTACTACCTATTTCTTTAACAACTTTTTGTATGACCTTTACAGCAAATCCCAAAACGATCTGTCTCTGTTACTTTTATGCCCATAGATTGCTCAGTGTTATACCTGTCGTATCCATACATTGGACAGTCGATCAGAACATGTAACACCGTCTCTTCAGCTGTATTGCTACAAGGACAGGCAGCACTTTGTCTAAACGTGAACCTGTAAAGATACGACAAAAATCCACCGTGTCAACATCTGGGTAATCAATCCCGTTGGTTTTATTTGTTTAATTATCGAAAAGGCCGAAACCACATTTGGAAGGAATAACTTAGTTATTGCAGCTGTTTCGCCGTTTCTATATCTGTGATTCCATTTTTCGATCGTGTCTCCACGTAGACAGTTCTTCAAATGCGATATGGGGAATCTATTGTACACAGGCGCCTCTTCTAGATGCGAAGCTTCCTTTGCCAGTTGGTCTGCTCTTTCAATCCCCTCCACGCCCGCAAGCGCTTTAACCCAAAAAACATATATTTTTTTATTTGTATAAACATATATGTATTGATGAAACGCGCTTTATTTATGTTCTCACGAATTTCAACTACAAGGGGATTGAAAGAGCAACCATCCGCAATACTTTCGAGTGCACATCGGGAGTCACTATACTCGTATACGCCGCAGGTTGCTTCTGGGTGACAAAGGATCCTTTGAGTTGCTTTAAGAATAGCCACCAGTTCAGCTTGATACACGGAACAGCATGAAGATAGTTTCAATTTAAAAGTCTCAAATTCGGCACCATTTTTCCATAAGGAAACACTGGCACCAACCAATTCGTCTACTTTACTTCCGTCCGTATATATCTTTACTGCTGGTGCATCTATTCTAGGACCTTCTTGTTCTCCATAGGCTATAAATTTGATATCAGGTTCTTTGGAGGGATGAGGAATCCACGATACTCTTTGCTCCAGGTCACCTTCCAATTCAGACTGAAATAATCCTCTCTTTGCTTCGTATAGCACAGCGACCTAATGAACAACATTATGTCCACATAAGAAATAGAAATATTAAATCTTAAGATATTAATTTACACTTAATGCACGAGGTAAGAAAATAGAAACATATTACAGTGGAATCTTGATAACTCGAACCTCGTTAAGTCGAAATTTCAGCAGTTAAATCAAGTTCTTGTTAAGTCGAAAACTCGTAACTAGTATTTTTAATTTGTTTTAAGTTTAATTCAATAATTTTTTATTATCGTATTTCTAACGATACTAATTGGGAAATATAGTAGCTCTTACTCTGATATCAAGACAAGAATGTTCCAAGAATAACAAGACAATTTCTTATATATTAATTATTCATAATATCGAAGCAGGCTCTACTTGACCCAATACCCGAGACGTCTACTGGCGAGACGTGACGAGCTTGCTGAAATGCAAAACAGACCTCCACTTGGCTAATTACTTGAAAGAAAAATCAAGTATTAGTTTCCTTACGATTTTCTCAATTTTATTTTCTCTGTAAATAAAGCGAAGTATTCTTAATAGTCCATTTCGTAGTATTCTCGGAACAATACAACCGAGCTATTCAAGTGGAGCTCGATTTTAATGCGATTTTTACAACAGCCACGCTATTGTGCCTTATATTGACGATTATTTCAAATATAAAATAACTAATATTGCCGTTTACTATAGCACATTTATATTTAATATATAATGGCCGTGTTGTATTGTAAAAATATTTCTACGAAAAAAACATTAAAAGTATAGTACGTCATAGGATGTTCATACATATTGCTGTATTAAGGATGTGTACTACAATTAGAGAACTCAACCAATTAACGTACTACTGATAAATTGACACTGACACATTGACAATTTACAACCTAAAATATGCCTATCATCTTGCGTGGTGTTGCCATAGTAATAAAATGAATAACACCGTTTTCTCTTAATACATTATCTATGACATATATTTGCAATAACCATCTCCGTGGTTTAGCGGCTAAGAGCTAGCACACAGCGTTTGTAGTGTAAATAACCAAATATTTAACTAGAGAGCTTTAAGGAAATTAGTACCGACAGATCCCAGATGTTAGCAAGTAATTGAAAGGCAATGTCGTAGAATTAATGGTAATTCTCGAGATGTAGCGAAGGAAATTAAACTGTAACAAGATCTAAAGGTGAGCCAATAACCTATTACTAACGGCACAAGAATCAAGTAAAGTTACAAGGTTTATTATCTGTAGATTTTATTTTTCTTTATACGTCATCATGATGTGAGAAACATAAAAATGCAAAAAAAAACGCTGCAAAACTTACATTTTTAATTTTTTGAGCAGTGTTGGTCTAGTGGCTTCAGCATGCGACTCTCATTTCTGAGGTCGTTGGTTCGATCCCCGCGCATTTAACATTCGCTCGAAAGGTGAAGGAAAACATCGTGAGGAAACCGGCTTACCTAAGACCCAAAATTTCAACGGCGTGCGTCAGGCACAGGAGGCTGATCACCTGCTTGCCTATTAGATTTTTTCTGACTGAGACATTCCGGTTTCCTCTATACACCGAACAGCTCAATTACGCACACAAACGAATCCATTGATTAACGTAATGTGGAGGAAGGAGATTGTGCAAGAGGATTCCAATCAGTTAAACTGGCTGACTGGTTTGACTGGCCCCAGTGGCTTTTTTTTCTCTGTTTGTGTTTATCCGCTCCTCTTCTGGGGTGGACAGTTCGGGCAGAGCCACTGGTGGCGGTGTGGTGGTTTGAACTGCTGATGCAGGATGGCACTGGGGTGGATATAGCCCTTGATGTGGTGGAGACGAGAAGGCGTAGGGCTCGACTCGTCTCGTTGGTTTCTTGTTACATACTTTATGAGGGGCACCGCCGACGGTGAGACGACCTGCGGATGAACCTCCCCGTGCCTCGGTGTCTTGTCCGGTGGTGGTTACCGCGCGAACTGTTACATAAGTTTCGTATCTGGAGGCCTGGAGTGCCACGATGCGAGGTGTAGGAGGTTTGGGAAGACTGACCGTGCGTCAATGCTGTCCAGGCGAAGTCACTTGCTGTGGTGGGGGAGCGTTCACTGCGCGCCGGAGTGTCGTATTCTGAATAGCGCATAGTCGTCGGCGGCTGGCCTCCGAGGTGAGCGCGAACCACGCTGAATCCGCGTACGAAAGATGGCGGCGGTCCCAGTGGCTACGGTCGAAAAGATGTATTTATCATTGGCGGTAGAACTTGGTTAGCACGTTATGGGATATGATGAAAGTGATAACAGCCGTAGATTGTAGGTGTCACTACAGTACGGTCTTTGACCACTCGCTACGAGCCTATTAGTAAAAATACAATTTAAATAATAAAACAACATTTTCATCTCGATGTAAGTGTTCCCGTGTACATAGCAGATTCCTATTGAGTTAATGAATAAATATTACCGCCAAAACTCTTATAAATGAATAGTTTGATTAAGTTTCCATCTCGCTAATTATTCATAGCTTTCTAAGAGCTGTCTGAGAAACTAACCGAGATTTCTACGTAAATATTAAGGAAATAATAAAAACGAGAAATGCAAATGACATCGAGGCATTTCTTGCTTTGAGTTTGCGAGTTCTACGAAAATACAGATGGCAGAAATATAAATTGAAATTAATGTTCAAAGGCTAGTTGAAACGTAAATAATACCTTTGTTGCCTGTCTTATTAAAAAATAATTTCATTTAGCGCTTTCCATAATACGATAAATTTCATTCGAATGATGTATTAAATAGAAATGTGCAAGTGTATTTTAAATGAAGTTTGGAGACACATTGTTACGTATTTTTGTTATTAATAATTTTTCATCAAGTAATAATACATTACGTGTCTAATACGCATATTTCACATAGATATACTTATTATGCTTTCAGGTAACAGGAATTAACGAATTAAGAATAAAATTATTTAATCCACAGCTGGGGACATGAAATCAAGGTTAGCTCGATTGACTGCTAGGATAAATTTTTAATTATTTATACTTCGTAGCAATTAAAATATTTGAATAAAAAAGGACAATTGCGCCCTCATCGCTTTCTAGCGATCTCTTCCACGCAAACACTGTGAGGGAAAAAAAATATATTTAAAAAAAAACAGTAGTTGCTTGGAAGAGATCGCTCGAAATCGATAAGGTCGCCAGTTGCCCTCCTTTTCATTTAATTAGGTCAATTGTATTATATTTGTTTATTTTATTTATTTATCAACTCAGTGTAAATACATAAATTAAATAAAGTAAGCGCATGAATTGCAAAACTACAAAATATTTACAATTACTTAGACAAAAGGAATGGAACAAAACAAAGCAAAGACAATAAACACAACACATGAATAAAAGTATAAATTATAATATTATATTATGTAACGTAAGTACCTAATGTATCTGGACTTTATTACGCCTTGATCTTTCAAAAAACTATTTACAATTTTTACTCAAATATTTGGTCTTTTGGCAAAAAATATTTCACGGATAGAGGCAAAACAAGCTGTTTAAAAGGAATGTACATCAATTAATAATAAATTAGTTTAATAAAAGTAAGTTTCATAAATTAAATTAGTTTAATATAATATTAAACTAATGTGAATTATAGTCCAAAATGTTTACTTAAGTAGTGGTTTCACTGGTCTCCTGAAACTTCAATGTACCGTTGGCTGCTCCGCACTTCCTGAAAAATAAAACTCCGTAATGAGTTCTTGTATTTAAACTTTAGCGAGAGCAACAGTGCAATTGCGAGCAACTTAATTACTAACTACTTGACGACAATTTCACTTCTTTGCTATTTACTTTAAACGTTTTCAAACTACGTTTGAAGTGCGCGCTGCTGAGCCGGTTTTGTGTTTAAATAGAATTTTAAATAGAAAAATCTTTGAATTCAAACTATTTAGCAAATATTGTAGAGCTGTTTATCACCGGCGGGTTTGCGGTGCACCGTACACTCCCAATAGACTATAGATTAGCTTATGCAATATAATTGTTGGCTTCGATATTAAGGTAATTTTAACACGAGAATATGATATGAATAGTGATAAGGCGTACTAACCTACCAATCCGGGTCAAGCCAGACTCTGAGTTAGCTAAAATAAAATAATATAAACTGAAATGCACGCTGGTGTCTACGTAAAAGTTACTCAAAAATATTTACAACGCCCCTGGCGGTTACGCAGTATACGCATATTAATTACCACCCACAAAACTTTTTTTAATGACAATTTAATGGACGTTTCTGCTATAACTTAATCATATTAACGTGAAAATGTATTCCTTTGTCATGTTATCAATTTAAAAGTGTATAAAACCAATGTTTTTATATCATTTTGAAAATTATTATACATGTCTATATTTATTTATTATACAATAATCTTTGACATTCGTTTGACTCTGTAGTAGATTCTCGGTCGTGGAACGAGGACACGAAATGTCACGAAACTTGTTTATTACAAATTCGGGTTGGCTCAGAGGGCTGCACCAAGCAGTTTAATATTGTTAAAAGTTAGTTTCTAATGATTGAAATTATTATAAATTACTTTTAATAACAATAATAATATTAAATTAAATTATATTAATTATGGAGTTATTATCCTATCGACCATTGAATAGTCGTTAATTTAAAGACAACTAATTCTAGCAACATTGACAAATCAAATAAACCATTCCCATCAACGGTTAAAACTATTTCTCCTACATTAATAAGAAAGATTATGATATTACTACAGACTATCAAATAGTCTGGTAATTTGTAGATCTATTGGCAAATCAAATAAACCACGTAACAGTTTTGAACTAATTACTTTGATGTTATTAAATTATAGTGACAATGGCAGCTGATACCAGCGCCATTGCTCCGACAATGAAAACCTTTTATGTTACTCTACGAAGCTTACCACTAAGCCACGACGTTTACATACTATGTGGACAAACAAGTTTTACGCAATATTTGTTAATCACTATTTTTCAATCTTTAATTTTCAGTTCTAAAGTACAGTGAAATACCATAATAAATGACGTCATTATTCTTTGAAAATTGAATGTAGGTTTGTTCATTGAAGAGGTCGCTTTATCAAATCTCAACACTCGCTCTCAGAAATGAGAAATTCATTTCATTTTTCATTGACATCTTTTCGGTGAAAATCATTTGGATTGATAAAGATGGAAGCATTGTGCTATATTTTATAATTTAAAATAGGAATTCATTTGAACGAATTCTTCGTAATTTATATCAAAATTGATGTTATTTTGTTTTGATACAGACTACTACACTTAACAAAGGCATGACATGGGCTTGAGAGATAATCACTTTTTCACAAGCGTGGCCCGCTAACGCTAAACGAATTTGTATGAAAATGACAGTTCGTATCGACAAATTTTCATACAAATTTAGTTTTCGACATTCTACACACACTAATAGGCCAGTCATTATAGACATTCGAAATCGAAAATTTGATAATAATTCCAAAAGTTTTCAAACTTCGGTCAAGTGAATGGTACATTGGAACGACAATAAATCTCATTTTGCAACCTTGTCCGCAGTCCGGAACATTGTTAAAATTGCAATTAAATTAATTTTATGTCTGTATGGTCGTGAAAAAAATTCCAAAAGTTCTGCAAACTTGGGGAAGTTTTCGATATAATATTTCATATCACGTATAAAATTTGCAACCAACCTAAGTGTACGGAACATTTTTTGTTATTTATTTTATTTTCGATATATCTGTCAAATTTGCAGAACTTTTGGAACGTTTTCCTTCAGTTTAATAAAGAACAACATTAATTAAATAATGTTCCGTACACTTAAATTGGTTGCAAATTTGACACGTGATGTAAAATAATATATTTAACACCACTCCAACTTTGCAGAACTTTTGGAATTTTGGTTTCAAGAACTAAGCAAATTATCATTTATTGCATTTTTAACAATGTTCCGGACCGCAGAGCAGGTTGCAAAATTTTATAGTTTGTTTTAATACCACTCCCGACCTTACATCAAAATTTGAAAACTTTTGGAATTATTATGAATTAATTGTCTTGACTGACTGGTCTATAATGTTAAGGCATCTTGACTAAACGCCATGTATGGGAATGACATTAGCGAAAATGGTTCTAGTACTTTTCTAACCTTATTAATCTATTCTTTTCATTCATCTATCTTAAATATGTGGAAATTATCGCGTCTGTATCTTAATACTATTAATTTCCTTAAATAGTCTTATCGTTGAATTATTAACGATATTTCAATCAACATTTGACCACATAAAAAACGTAGAATTTTATATGGATGGATAATGTCATAAAATAGCCTAACTTTGTAAATAATTTTTATTTATTGGTGTACTGGTCTTCTAACCTAAAGGGAGGATCTTCGACCAGGTATAACTTTGTTAGGGCATTTTAGTATATGACGTCATCGCAATAGTCAATCGATTTTAGGTGTCGCTACAAATGCAGAGATGGAATATTCGCTTATACCTAAGCTTTCTATTCCTTGGTTACTAGTTTCTAATGAGTACCTAATCTGTGCCCAGTGGCGTAACAATAGGGTGGCAGTGATGGCAAAATGCCACGGGCCCCCGACCCAAGAGGGCCCCTGCCCAAAAGATATTATGTTATATGGATGAATGTGAAGTCTCCATTACGCATTGGGCTAGCGTGGGGACTACAGACCATTCCCTTTCGCCTAAGAGAGGAGGCCTATGGCCGTTAGTGGGACATATAGAACGTGTAATTGAGTACGCTGAAAATCTCGAAGTTTATTAAAATGATACTGAGTACAACGTGACGATTTTTACTCATAGGGCCCCATCAAAAGAATTTCCCACGGGCCCCAGATGGTATAGCTACGCAACTGTCTGTGCCGTCATTAATAACCAAAGCTACACCAGCGTCTCTAACGTGAATAATATAACAATTTTATGATGCGATCAATAGGCCGTATCATAGCGGCCATGTATAATTTACCTATTTATATCGTTAAACACAGATTACTTATTTTTTTCATTGAAATTAACCATTTTGAGATCCAGACTTTTTCCGAGAAGTTTCTCGTTTCGGAGGTCAAGACACATTTTGGGTAGCAGAGTCAACAGAGTGTGATTGTG